GATGATGATGATGATGATGATGTTGGTCGTGAGGTTGTTGGTGTTGTCGTTGTCGTTGCGGTTGCCATTGTAGTTGTCGTTGTTGTTAGTCGTCGTTGTTATTGCTGCTGTTGTTGTTTTCGTTTTTGTTGTTGTTGTTGTGGTTGTTGTTGTTGTTGTTGTTGTTGTTGTTGTTGTTGTTGTTGAACCTTCACGACTGAATAACAATTATTGTTGACCCCCCTCCAGTAACATGTATGTTTTTAAACTGAAGTGCCCCTCCCTGGGCTCGCACCCTTGTTTTGTCAAGGAAAGTCTTCCTGCTCAAACTGCGCCCCTGGCGCCCTGGACTACAACAACAACGGCTCCCGCTTGATATTTCCTTAAAATTTGAAGAGAAATCGCGCTCTCGCTAGGGACTTTCTTCTCAATTTATCCAAGAATCGCGCTCTCGCCTGTGACTTCCTCGCAATTGATTCAGGCGCCACGCCCTCGCCATTCAGGAATCGCGCTCTCACCTGGGACTTCCTCATTTTCAAATTCACTTAGGAATCGCGCTCTCGCCCGAGACTTCCTGGCGAATTCTGCAGGACTCACGCATTCGCGTAACATGCGTGTTTTTCAACTGAACTGCCCCTCCCGGGGCTTGCTGTGTTTTTTGGGAAAGTCTTCCTGCTCAAGCTGTGCCCCTGGCCCCCGGTTTGCAACAGCAACGGCTCCCGTCTGATATTGCCCTGCAATTTATTTTCAAGTTGCGCTCTCGCCAGGGGCTTCCTCATAACACGCTTTCAGGTGGGACATCCTTGCAGTTTCTTCAGACGCCACGCCCTCGACATTCAGGAATCACGCTCTCTTTCTTCAAGATTTATTAGGGAATCGCGCTATCGCTCGCGACTTCCTCGCGACTCATGCAGGACGCACGCTTTAGCAATCCGCTTGCTCGACCTGGCCGTCTAGGCCCGCCTTCCGACCCGCCTGCTAGGGTTTACCCGCCCGATCTGCCCGTCTGGTCCTGTCACGTGTTTTCTGCTCCTAGCCCCCCTGCTGCTATTTTCTCTCGTGCTTTATCTTCCTCCCTCCCCCTTGTCCCTTCCTTCCATCCGTCCTCTCTTTCCCTGCCTTAGGGGCTGCGCGACGTAAACACGTTGCAGGTAAGAAAGATACACCCCGAAAGGGGCTACGATCGAAGACTAAGAGGGCGGGCATCGAGGGTTTGGGATATACGTCTTGAGCGTCGCGCGAGCAGGGAAGAGCAGGGAAATGATTCCCCAATCCGAGCTTGCCTCTGTAGGGGTCCTGGCGGATTCACATGGTCAGGTTAGCTGCGCCGCCGATTTTGGCGGCCCGCCTGGGTGCCTGGGTGACCGGGTGCCCGGGAGCTGCGTCTTCGATTTCGGCGGTCCCCTCGGGTGCCCAGGTTTCCCATAGCGCTAAAACCCTGTGGCCCTGTAGCCCTGTAGCCCTATAGCCCTAAAGCCCTATATCCCTAGAGCCCTATAGCCCTATAGTTCAATAGCCCAATCACCCTACAGCTCTATAGCTCTATAGCCCTCTAGCCCTATAGCCCTCTAGCCCTCTAGCCCTATAGCCCTCTAGCCCTCTAGCCCTCTAGCCCCCTAAGCCTCTAGGCCTCTAGCCCTATAGCTCTACAGCCCAATAGCCATATAGCCCTATAACCCAATAGCCCTATAGCCTTATAGCCCAATCACCCTATCTATAGCCCTATAGCCCTATAGCCCAACAGCCCTATAGCCCAACAGCCCAATAGCCCTGTAGCCCTCTAGGCCTATAGCCCTATAGCCCCATAGCCCCATAACCATATAGCCCTATAGCCCCATAGCCCAAAAACAATGTTTGTTTGGGGTTTCTTTCCAGTATCATTGGTGTTGTTGATGATGGTGGGGGTGATTGCGGTGCTGATGATGGTAATTGTCATGGTTGTGGCAGTGGTGGTGATGATGAGGCATGAGGACGTACGTGGGAGAGATATAGAGGAGGGCAAACGGCGGAGAAGGAGGACGAGGAGGAGGAGGATGTGGAGGAGGAGGAGGATGTGGAGGAGGGGGAGGAGGAGGAGGAGGAGGAGGACGAGGACGAGGTCGAGGACGAGGACGAGGAGGATGAGGATACGGAGCAGGAGAGGCACGAGGAGGAGGAGGAGAAGGGGGAGGAGGAGGAGGAGGAGGAGGAGGAGGAGAGGGAGGAGGAGGAGGAGGAGGAGGAGGAGGAGGAGGAGGAGGAGGAGGAGGAGGAGGAGGAGGATGGCGAAGACTTTATCCTTTCCCTTTCAGCCCGATGTGTCGCCTGGGGGAATCGGTGTTTGCCCCCGCCGAGGTTCGCGTTCGGGGCACGCAGATGGTCGTCATGACCATCGTCCTGCTGGCCGTCATCTTGGCCGCGCTCTCCCCCTCTTTGCCGAGAGCACCGAAGGTATACACAGCCGTGGCAAAAGTTCAGGCGGCTTGCTAATGTTGGAATCACCGATCCCACGGAACAAGTCCCCCAAATTCTATCGGAAATTATTCCGCACAATTCTTCGTGAAGAAATTTGGCGAGGTGCATGTCCGCGAAGGGGGAATTTTGATTCCGCCCGCTCCGCCAACTCCGCCAGTGGTCGTTGCGCTTCATCCAGACTGTATAGTATTTTTGCCACGTCGATGTTCACATGAACGTAGTCTTTCGGAGGTCCGCGCGGATTGCTCAGGTCGGCGCTGGAGCCCCCCTCAAACCCTTGGCGGCGCTTTGGCGCCGACCGAAGAGATCCGTGCGGACCTCCGAAAGCTAAATGAGAGGGTAGTGATTCGTCACGTATCTCCGTCGTCTTCGCCGCAGGTCTCCAGCGTGGCGGACAATTCCCCACGGACGAGTCTTCCTCGCGATCTCGGCTCGGGGACCGTCCGGAATGATGCATTGAAGCACCGGTCCCGGGGATGGGTTCGGGAGTTCTCGGGCCTTCTGATTACAACAATAACGACTCTGAAGGTTGGGGCCGTCGCCGCCGCCGCCGCCGCCGTCTCCGTCGCCGTCGTCGTCGTCGTCGTCGTCGTCGTCGTCGTCGTCGTCGTCGTCTTCATCGTCGAGTCCCAGGAGGGGGTTATGTACCGAGGGGTTCTCTCGGGGGCTCGTCGTGCCGGTCTTTGGGGACAGTAACCTGGCCAATGACAGATGGAGGATGAGGAGGGGAGTTGAGCCTTCGTATATCGTGCAGCCGAGCTCAAGTGTGTCAGGGCTGACCGAGTTCGAATGGCGTCGACGGTTGCTGTCTGTGGCCCTCCCTCGCCTACAGTGGTGCCTCGAGCTGACGAGTGCGACCTTGGGTCAGAGGGGAGGCGATCTGATGTCGATTTCGCAGAGTCTATGCTCTAGGTGGGATATTAATTGAGGGGATGGGCGACTAACCTTCCGACGGAGCTTGTTCATCCCCCCCCTCCTCCACCTTCTCCTCCTCCTCCTCCTCCTCCTCCTCCTCCTCCTCCTCCCCCTCCTCCTCCTCCTCCTCCTCCTCCTCCTGCTTCTCCTCCTGCTTCTCCTCCTGCTTCTCCTCCTCCTCCTCCTCCCCCCCTCCACCCGTTCCGACAGCACGTGCCCAACCCCCCCAGCGGATCCAAGAAGGGGGGAGGGCGATTGTTGTCCCATCCAGAGTATCCAGCATGCAGCCCAAGGCTCAGCCATCAGCAGCTGCGCCCGCTCGATGTTCCAGTGCTGGCCGCGAACCCGCCACCGCGTGCCCGCCACGGTGGACAATTCCCAGAGGAAGCTCGCTCCGCCTTCGGCGGACAGACACCGACGTCTTGCAAAAGCCCATGGGTACCTCTGAAGGCTTCCCCCTTGTCGGGAGTCCCCAGGGATCCCAGCGTTGTTATTGTTCCCATGGTTTTCTCCCCCCCCTCTCCCCCCCACCAGACCAGTAGAGGACTTGTGCCATAGTCTGCGTAAGACGTTCGGCGGTCGCCGAAAGTCAGGGGAGCTCTTCGCCCCCGGGTCAAGCCTGAGGGGCCCCAGGCCGATGCGTCTTCACCGAGGACTTTTTTTTACTGCCCCACGCCAGACCAGGGACGCCCTGCTGGCCTTCATCGGTAGGGGAGAAGGCGGAGGAGGCGCTCCTCTTGGCATCGCTCGGACATGTGCATTGCTTTCCTCGGCGAGGACCGTCGAGAAGCATCCTGGATCGGATAGGGCGACAACAGCGCGCACGACATCGCACAGCGCACGGGGGCGTCGGAGCGATGGCGAGTCCTGGCACTTGGGGACGCCAGACCAGCCTTCTGTTGTCGTCGTCGTCGTCGTCGTTGTTGTTGTTGTGGTGGTTGTTGTTGTGGTAGTGGTTGTTCTTGTCTCGTGTGTGTTGTGGTTGTGGTTGTGGTTATGGTTGTGGTTGTGGTTGTTGTTGTGGTTGTTATTGTTGTTGTTGTTGTTGTTGTTGTTGTTGTTGTTGTTGTTGTTGTTGTTGTTGTTGTTGTTGTTGTTGTCGTTGTCGTTATTGTTGTTGTTGTTGTTGTTGTTGTTGTTGTTGTTGTTGTTGTTGTTGTTGTTGTTGTTGTTGTTGTTGTTGCTGTTGTTGTTGTTGTTGTTGTTGTTGCTGTTGTTGTTGTTGTTGTTGTAGTTGTTGTAGTTGTTGTAGTTGTTGTTGTTGTTGTTGTTGTTGTTGTTGTTGTTGTTGTTGCTGCTGCTGTTGTTGTTGTTGTTGTTGTGGTTTTGGTTTTGGTTTTGGTTGTTGTTGTTGTTGTTGTTGTTGTTGTTGTTGTGGTTGTTGTTATCGTGGTTGCTTTTTGTTGTTGGTGTCGTCATTGTTATTGTGGTTGTTGTCGTTGTTATTGCGGTTGTTGTTGCTGCTGTTGTTGCTGCTGCTGTCTTTGCTGCTGCTGTTGCTGTTGTTGTTGTTGTTGTTGTGGTTGTTTCTTCTTTAGGCATTTATTCGTTTCTTGGATCGGTTTTTCTTTTCGCACCAGCAGGCCACGCTGGACCAGCCGTCGGTCGCTTCGCCGATGCCGCTGCGATTCTCCAGGCGCCTTGCCTCCCTCAGAGCACGTGCGGTTCGAGCGAGCATTCGGGCTCATGCCTCGGCGCCGGATCGGATAGGCGAGGTGGGGCGGGCCTTATGACAGGTGGAGGCATGGAGGCCCCTGCGGCGCGGCCGCGCCTGACTAACAAGACCCTCTTTGTGCTGGGGGCCATGAACATGATCGACTGCATCAATGTCGTCCAGGGCAACCTTCCTTCCCTTCCTTTCCCTTCCAACATCCGTCCCTTCCCTTTCTCATTCTGTCGCTCTCTCACTCCCTCCCTCCCTCGCGCTCTGTGGCTTGGCCGTCCGCCTCTCTTCCTCTCGCCTCCTGCCTTCTTCCCGCCCTCCCTCCCTTCCTCCTTCCAAGAATGTCTGGCTCCCCCCACGCCCATACGGCTCAAATAAGACGCTGAAGTAGGTAGCAGTTCGGGGTCGAAAGGGGCCTGCTGCTGCTTGGGTTCTCCCTGGTCGTTCCTCTGCCGCTCCTCGTGCAACCAGGCGCATTCGGGGCAAACACGGGGCCTCACTCATTATCACTATCGTTGTTGTAGGTGTTGTGATTGTTGCTGTGGTTGTTGATGTTGTTGTTGTTGTTGTTGTTGAACATTATTAATTCTAAAGAATAATTATTGTTGGGACCCCTGGTGCACGGCCCCCCTGCGCCGCCTAGGCCGCAGCTACATTTTCATCATTTTCGTGAGGAAGCCTCAGGTAATACGATGTCATCAAGATCCGGTTGTTTTGTTGTAATCCGTTTTCCCTTGCAAAAAACACTATAAAATGACATTTCTTGTTCTAATATAATCAAATTTCAAGAATCCCTTGCAAAAAATAAGGTAAAGTGGACATTCGCGCGCGCAAGACGAAATCCTTCCAAAAGCTTAGTGTTCGGAGCGATTTTAACATAAAAACATCAAAAAACCAATGGTTTTTCAACAAAAAAATGTCAAAATCTCATCCCGCGCGCTCTTGCGGATTCGTAGGAAACCCAACACTTTTTAAACATTTCTGTCAAACGGGCTTTTGCGAGCAACTTTTTCGAACTTCTGCGACAACGGTTGCGCACCTGCCAGGGCCATCATCCCTGTCAAATAATACCATGCGGGACACATTCGTTTTTTCTTCGCGCGCGCACGCCGAAATCTCCAAAAACCATTGGGTTCTTAAGAATTTTAGCACCGCGCATCATAAAATCACACGAATCGCACCGTAGGTCCTCGAAAAACACCTGCACGACTTTTCAAAATTTCCACCCGCGCGCGCTGTCCGAATCCTAAAAAAACCAATGGTTTTCCAACATTTATGTTACATGAGCTCGCGCGAGCTACTTTCGCACGCTCTTGCAACGGGGTTCGCGCGCCTGCGGGACAACCATCGAGACAACCATCGAGACAACCATCGAGACAACCATCGGGACAACCATATCCTCTCTCTCTTGTGTATTCCCACATCCCTCAGGAATTTGCCCTAAAGATGTGATCAACTATCTTGTGAGTACGTATCATGTGTATCATGTGTATCATGTACCATATGCATCATATGCAACAGATGTTCTGTGGAAGGCTTAACAACTTCTGTGGGTTAACAAGGCTTAACAACTTCTGTGGGTGTACGAACGTAGGCTTAACAACTTCTGTGGGTGTGTACTCCACGCCAGTGTAGTAGCCACGGTCGTCCGCAGGCCACGAAGTGAAGTGTCCGAACGTCATAGGGCGGGAAGCTGGGTGTGGGTGGTGGCGAAGAGTCGTGTGGATATTTGGTAGAGCTTGCACTGCCCCCCCACAAAGTGGGGGTATTGGCTGGCGTCGCATGAAAACCCTGGCACTGGTGAGAACACTGAGCGTTCGGGTAAAGTGATTGTTGTTGTTGTTGTTGTTGCCGTTGTTGTTATTTTTGTTGTTGTTGTTGGTGTTGTTGCTGCTGCTGTTGTTGTTGCTACTGCTGTTGTTTACTCTTACCATTGTAATTATCTTCGTTATTATTTTTCATTGTCACTATTCGTATTATGCTTATTATCACTACGACTACTTCATGATTATTTTCATCAGTATCATGATTAGCATTAACAGTGTCATTTGTGTTAATTTTTAGTATCATCATTAGTACTGCCATGCTTATTACTCTTGCTGTTGCCATTCTGGCTAGTACTATTCTGATCGTTATTCTTAGCATCATGATTCCTATCAGTCGTTGCTTTTGGTCTCATTCGACAGCATATGAATGTGCGTAGCCCACGTGTTCGTACCCTCCGCAGAGCCGGGCCGACTGCTCGTGCTGGTGCAGTTTGGTCATGTCTCTTCATTTCGCAACTGGTCCTACAAGCACATGCAACCATAATGATAAGCGGCTGGCAAGATTCTTGCATCTTCGTCGCAACTTTGGGCAAGTAACGTTGGCCATTTTTGCCCAAGAGGATTCGACTTGGGCGTCCAAGGTTCTTACATTTGCACCACCCAGGCGTATTTACGTGCGTCGGCCACGCAGGGGCGACGCGCCTGCTCGAATATCTTCTAGGATAAGCTCCGTGGCGGGCGGTAGCGCTATACTATAATCTGTTTGTACTAACTGTTCGGTTTGGACGGGCGCCTCCAACAGAGGCGCATCGTGTTAGTATTTCCTTCTGCGTCCCAATCTTGCGGGTCCAGACGGCCAGAAGAGCGCTTTCTGCCGCTGCCGGCAGAGGGGGGGGGACTTGTTTAACCCCCCCGCGGAAATTACTCGGGGGATCCGGACCCCCCCTATCCCCGAGAAAATTCTTGACGCCATCCAGAGACGATGCCCATGAGAGTTGATAGGGGGAGAGAGGAAGAGATAGCCAAACAGCGAGGGTGGCTTGGGAGGCTCCGTGGTCATCTCGAGCCGTCTTAGAGCGGTCTTGGGGCCGTTTGGAGCATCTTTGGAGCCATCTTGAGCCAGCTTGGGCCATCTGAGCCATCTTCGAGGTCATCTTGGGCTTTCTGAGGCCGCTCGGGGGCCTCTTGGGGGCCTCTTGGGGGCCTCTCGGTTGCCTCTTGGAGCCTTCTTGGGGCCTCTTGGAGCGCTCTTGGAGCACTCTCAGGGGCCTCTTGGGAGCCCTGGAGCGCCTCTTGGGGGCATTTTGGAGGCGGTCGGTCAAAAGAGGAGGGGTACTACATGTAGCTCCCCCCCTCGGGGCCACGATCCTAGTGAGGGGTGTCAAAAATTGGCCCTCCAAGGGGCCGAAAAAGGAGCCTCCGACACCTCGCGACCCCTCCCACAACACCTCAGGGAGGGGAGGGGGAGGGCTCCCCTCCCCGAAGGGAAGATGGGTTATGAAAGAGGAAAGGGACCCTCCTTAGACCACCTGTCGCTCAAAGGGCTGGTGGGATTATCCCGGGGGTTAAGACCTCCGCCTCCCCCTCAGAAAATTATTCGGGGGGTCCAGAACCTTGTCTCCTCCCTCCCTCCGGCAACGTCGACGATGACGACAATGTCGCCGCCGCCAGCAAATGACGCAGATGACGACGACGTCGGCACGACGGCGGCGACGACGACGACGATGACGACGACGACGAGGACGACGACGATTACGACGACGACGACGACGAAGACGACGACGACGACGACACCACGACGACGACGGCGACAACGACGCCGTGGTTACGACAACGACGACACGACGACGACACCACGACGACGACACGACGACGACGGACGACGACACGACCACCACGACGAGGACGACGCCGACGCCGCTGACGACGACACCGACGACGACGCCGACGACGACGCCGACTGCGACGACGACGAGGAAGGTGAAGACGACGACGACGAATATTGAACCGTAGCCGTAGAGTGGAGTGTAACAGGAATAGAGTAGAGTAGTTTGGAGTAGAGTAGGGCCGAGTGGAGTCGAGTCGAGTCGAGTCGGTCGGGCTACGGTAGTGTAGAGAAGGGTAGGGTAGAGTAGAGTACAGTAGACTAGGGATATACACATATATATATATATATATATATATATATATATATATATCGGATTGGAGTAGAAAAGAAGATAGGGTACGAGTATAGTAAAGCAGAAGCAGAGTAAGTTTGGGGCAGAGCTGGGTAGAGTAGAGTGAACAGAGTAGAGTAGAGTAGAGTAGAAAATTCTTCACGCTTCGCGTAAGCCACAGGCGTTGGCCCCTTGCCGACTCTTCGCTGGAGTTTGGCCTCCCCGCACCGATTCCTCGCACCATTTGGTGACTGGCGATCCGGATTTTCCGTCGAGCGCCCGCACGTCCTGCTTCTCCTTTTGTCGAGGCCCGTCGTGGTGGGACGTGCTCCTCCCGACGTTCTTCCACTTCTGGGTCGAGGACTTCTTCAATTACCTCGAGGTGCTGCACGACGCCCAGGTGTTCGTCCTGGTGCTGGCGCTCTTCTGAGCGGCAGTGAGGTTCGCCCGCTGCTCGTCTCTTCCGCCGTCTCTCTCTTTTTCGTTTCGCCTTTCTCCTTCTGTGCGCTAATTTAGGTCGTTGCGTCGCCGCTTCGTTCTGACGGCGCCCGGCGTCTTCCGGTGCGCTTGCGATCAAAAAGTACCCCCGCCAGCCAATTCAGAAGCCTTGCCCGTGAGAGCTGACGGGGAAAGGGAAGAAAAGACACATCTAGGGAAACAGAGCGAGCGACCAGGGTGAACCGAGAGACCTTTGGGAGCAAGGGGGTAGCCGTGGAAGGCCTCTCCGGGCCATCCCTGGGGGCCGCGTGGGGGCGAGGGGAAGAGGAGGGGGATGGGCAGGAGGGGGGTGCGGACGAGGAGGAATAGGAGGGCGAAGACGCGGATGAGGACGAGGACGAGGAGGACGAGGACTAGGCTGCTGCTGCTGCTGCTGGCGCCCTCTGGGAGTTATCGGGGCCCTCTCGGAACCTTCTGGGTTGCGCTGGAAGGCTTCTTGGGATCATCTTGGAGGCCATCGATTGCAGGATGGGGGGCCCCCAACTCAGCTCCCCCCCCGTCATGGGCAGGCGACCCGCTTCTTTGGGCTCTCTTGGAGCGCTCTTGGGCGCTCTTGGAGCGGTCTTGGGGCGGTTTGGAGCATCTTTGGAGCATCTTTGGAGCCATCTTGAGCCAGTTTGGGCTATCTGAGCCGTATTGGAGGTCATCTTGGGCTCTCTGAGGCCGCTCGGGGGCCTCTTGGGGGCCTCTCGGTTGCTTCTTGGGGCCCTCTTGGGGCGCTCTTGGAGCCCTCTTGGGGCTCTCTTGGGTTTTATTTTGGGAACCCTGGAGCGCCTCCTGGGGCCATCTTCGAGGCTATCGATCAAAGGAGGGAAGTTCCCGATCGACCCCCCCGTAAGGGATGTCAAACATTGGTTCTCCCAAGGGCCGAAAAAAAAGGCCCTCCAACGTCCCGCGACCCCCCCGAAAAAAGTCCAGGGGGGGGCCGGGGCAGGGGTCAAGACCCCCTCCCCGTTCGCAAGCCGTCTCGTTCACTCCCACCCGCCATCCCAACACATACGTAGCACGCAGGCCTGGCCTGAGCCTCAGCATATTCAGCAGTCGTCTTTGGATGGGCAGCTACTGGGGGCGCATCTGCCGCCCGCCGCCGCCGCCGCCGCGCCGCCGCCGCCGCCGCCGCTGCCCGCCGCCGCCGCCGTCGCGCCGCCGCCGCGCCGCCGCCGCTGACGCCGCCGCCGCCGTCACCGCCGCCGCCGCCGCCGCCGCCGCCGCGCCCCCGCCGCCGCCCCCGCCGCCGCCGCCACCGCCGCCGCCACCGCCGCAGCCGCCGCAGCCGCGGCCGCCGCCGCTGCCGCCGCAGCCGCCGCCGCCGCCGCCAAGTGTACCCTGTATTGTTTTTTGACAGGGATGGTGGGGGGAGGCCGCATCGGGTTGGCTGCGTAGGTTCCGAATTTGGAGGCCGAGTGTGTGTGTGTGTTAATAGGGAGCTGTGGTAAACCCTTCCCCCATGGGGAAGATAGGGTTTTCGAAGAGGTAATACATAATCCCGCTAAACCACCTACGGCCGGAGGGCTGGTGGGATTCTTGACGCTTCGCGTATCGCCACCATCATGGCAGCTTCACGGGCCGGGCGGTACTTCTGTACCACCCCTTTTGCCCGCCGGATGCCGCTCGCTTCATTGTTTTACCCTCAGCTACAGGGCGCGGCCCGCCCCAGCTTGCACGGCGTTCGACTCGTCGTCGCGCGCCCGCGGGCCAAAAAATATTCCCACCAACCCATCCAGAAGCAATTGACTGGGGAGTTGTTCGAATCAGGGCAGTGTAGAATCATACGGTGGCACGGTTGCCTTCGAGGCGTGTGGGGGTGACAAAAGCGATGGGAACATTAGGTCGCAGAATCGGCGGGAACATGTGTCGAATCACTTAACACATGTTCCTCTAACACGCCGGCTTCTAGGGGCCTTTTTGGAGTTATCTTGGGCTCTCTTGGAGTTCCCGTGGAGCCTGTTGGGGCACTCTTGGGGCCCCTCTTGGGGCTTTCGTGGGGAGTCTAGGGGCTCTCTTGGGGCTGTTTGGGGGGGTCCGGGAGGCCTCTTGGGGCCGTCTTGGCCACCATGGCTCACAAAAGTGGGTTGTAGGAAATTCAGCCCAGGCTCAAACATTGCGTCTTGGGTTCCTCTTGGGCCGGTCTTGGAGCGCTCTTGGGGCCCTCTGTGGGTCCTCTTGGGCCCCTCTCGGGACCCTCTGCGACCGTCATGGGGCCATTTTGAGGCTTCTGAGGCCTATCGGAAGCGAAAAGGCGAGCACGCAATGATTTTTCCTTGGGTTTTGGAGCTATTTTGGCTTCTTGGGGAGGTCCTTGGAGGGCTCGAGTGGCACTTCAAACCGTCTTGGGGCCGTCTCGAGGCCTCTCGACCCCCTTTGAGCTGTCTTGAGCAATCTTGGAGGCTTGCTTGCGCTTTCAGAGGCCCTCTTGGAGCCATCTCGGGCCATCTTGGACGCTCTAACCTTTCGGCCCCCCCCTTCCAGGCCCAGGGGAGGGGGCATGCAACGCACCGCAACGCAAGAACCGCGCCCTGACGGCGCATCGGCAGAACACAGAATCTGTCAGAATTCATGCAAGGAGGAGGAAGAGGAAGAGGAATGACAGGGCCGCCGCGGGCCTCCGTTTGTAGAGCGGGTTCAGGAAACAGCTGAACACCCACTCAGGGCACGGGCGGTGCCAATTGGGTTGAGGAACGCATGCTGGCGACGCCCTCAGGATCCACGAACTGGCCGAAAGAAATCATGAAGCCCAGGAAAAAGAGGATGAAGAAGAAGAAGAAGAAGAAGAAGAAGAAGAATAAGAAGAAGAAGAAGAAGAAGAAGAAGTTGAAGAAGATGGAGGGACTATCTGCTGTTCTGTTGTATCGCCTTGTGCCGATCATGTGGGGCTCCCTCCGCACAATAGCGATTGCGATCGTGTGGGAGAGGTATGGGGGAGAGTTGAACCTTTCCCTCGAGCAGGAGATGGATGGGGCTGCGGAAAGAGAGTGGCTTCGTTAAACCACGTACGTCCAGAGGGCCGGTGGATATTTGGTTACAGTAAAAGGAAGAGTAGGGGTAGAGTAGGGTAGGGTAAACGAGAGCAGGGCAGAGTAGAGGAGAATGGAGTAGAGAAGAGCAGGGCAGGATAGCGCAGGGCAGAGCACAGCTGGGCCCCGGCAGGATACCGGGAGAGCTGGGTCGAGCTACAACAAGCATTCTATCAGAGCCGGCGCCTGGCGCGGGCGCCGGCGACAGGTGCGCCGCCGTCGCTCACGTTGTCGCCTTCGTCGGCGTCGCTGTGGTCGTCGTCGTCGTCGTCGCCAGGGGAGGGGGGGGGGTATCTGAACGTTCCGGATCATTTTTTCCGGGGGGGGTACTTGGTCCCCCCTCCGAGTCATTTTCCGGGTGGGGGGGGTCAGGACCTTACCGTTTTGTTGTCGTTGTTGTTGCTGTTGTGGTTGTTGTTGTTGTTGTTGTTGTTGTTGTTGTTGTGGTTGTTGTTGCTGCTGTTGTTGTTGTTGTTGTTGTTGTTGTGGTTGTTGTTGTTGTTGTGGTTGTTGTTGTTGTTGTTGTCGTTGTTGAACACTATTACTTCTAAAGAATAATTATTGTTGGGGCCCCTGGTGCGCGGCCCCCCCGCCGCGCCTAGGCCGCAGCCACATTTTCATCATTTTCGTGAGGAAGTCTCAGGCAAAACGGGGGAGTCCGGATCCGGTTGTTTTGTTGACGCCCGCTTTCCCTGTCAAAAAAATATATAAAATGACATGTCTTGTTCTAACATAACCAAACTTCAAGAATCTTTTGCAACAAATGACACGAAGTGCACACTCGCGCGCGCAAGATGAAATCCTTCCAAAACCTTAGTTTTCGTAGCGATTTTAACATAAAAACATGAAAAACCCAATGGTTTTTCAAAAAAAAAGTTTCAAAAATTCATCCCGCGCGCTCTTGCGGATTTCTTAGGAAACCCAATACTTTTTCAACATTTCTGTCAAACGGGCTCTTGCGAGCAACTTTTTCACGTGCTTCGAACTTCTGCAACAACGGTTGCGCGCCTGCCAGGGCCATCATCCCTGTCAAATAATACCATATGGGACACATTCGTTTTTTCTTCGCGCGCGCACGCCGAAATCTTCAATTGCAGGGGGAAAAGTCGTATACTAAGCTAGCTTACAGAAAATGTTACCACAACAAGTCATTGTACCCATGCGCCAGTGTAGTAGCCAAGGTCGTCCGCAGGCCACGAAGTGAGGTGTCCGAACGTCATAGGGCGGGAAGCTGGGTGTGGGTGGTGGCGAAGAGTCGTTTGGAAATTTGGTAGAGCTTGAACCGGCCCCCCCACAAAGTGGGGGTATTGCCCGCCTCCTATGAAAACCCTGGCACTGGTGAGAACGGAGTGTCCCCACGTGCTAGTAATTGTTGTTGTTGTTGTTGTTGTTGTTGTTGTTGTTGTTGTTGTTGTTGTTGTTGTTGTTGTTGTGGTTGATGTTGTTGTGGTTGTGGTTGTTGTTGTTGTTGTTGTTGTTGTTGGTGGTGGTGGTGGTGGTGGTGGTGGTGGTGGTGGTGGTGGTGTGTGTGTGTGTGGAGGTTCGGGGGGGTCCTCTGGTTTCGGGCCCCCCCCGTCGGTTTTTTTGTTTGGGGAGCCCCCCCCCGGTTTTTGACCCCTTCTTCCACCTTGTCCTTCCCCCTTGCTCCATCTTCCTCGTTCCCTCGCCCCCTCCCTCCCCCGTGTCGTGCCTTCCCGCGCATTCCTTTTACACCATTTGGTTGTCGGAGAGCGCGGGGTCGTGCATACTCGCATTTTAGTGTGACCCCTCACCCGAATCCGATCCCTAATCCCAATCGCGCCTTCAGCATCGAACGCGTTCGTTTCGAGCCCCGCGGTCCCCGATGGTCCCTCTTCCGCACCACGTGCTAGGCTCACCCCTCAATGCGTACGGGTAGAAATTGAGCGCGCGCGAAGCGCGCGAATGGTTATAGTTGTATCTTAACCTGGCTCTAGGTCAACCTGCTCGCGCCGTACGTAGTCAGAATGGTGTCGGAATTCCTGGACACCGAGACCAACGATCCCAGCGTTCAGCAGACAGTGGGGCTGCTGACTGGCCTGTACTCGCTGTGCGAGGTGGTGTTCTCCCCATTCTGGGGTACCTTGTCTGACAGGATAGGGCGCAAGCCTGCGCTGCTCATCGGGCTTGGCGGATCTTGTGTTGCCCCGATCCTGTTCGGCCTGGGCACCAACCTCACCACCGTGTTCTTTGCTCGTGCGCTGGACGGCTTCTTCTGTGGGAACATGGGGGTCACTAGGACGTATTTGGGCGAGATCGTAGACGAGACGAACGAGGCAGCCGTGTACCTCCTCGGTCCTCGATTCTCATGTCTCACTCCTCGATTCTCGATCCGCGATCCTTTCGAGAGGGCGCCGACACTGCCCGCCTGCTCCGAGACATGCTGGCCTGGGGCATCGCTTGTGGTCCAGCATTGGCACGTGGCCAGCATCGGTGCATGTTGGACAGATGGCGTCCCCCTCCTTCCTCCTGCTCCTTTTCCTCCTTCCCCGTCCTCCTTCCTCCTTCCGTCCTCCTCCTCCTCCTTCCTCTCTTTTTCCTCCTTCCCCTCCTCCTCCTCCTCCTCCTCCTCCTCCTCCTCCTTCCTCATTGCTCCTCTTTCCTCCACCCTCCTTACTCCCCCGTCTCCCCACCTCATCCTCCTCCAGATCCCGCTTTTCCTACTCGTCCTCCTCCTGATCCTGATCCTCCTCCTCCTCTTCCTCCTCCTCCTCCTCCTCCGCCTCCGCCTCCGCCTCCTCCTCCTCCTCCTCCTCCTTCTCCTCCTCCTCCTCCTCCTCCTCTCCCCCCCCAGAGTAACACAGGTGCAGCCATAAAGGTGTGCCGCGCAGCGATAATGAGTATGTGTCACGTGGCCATAAGGCGTATCTGAGTAGTCAGGTGCCCGATCTTGTCGTCGCCCAGAGATATCTGTCTGTCAGTCTCCTCCCCCTGCCTCCTGACTCTTCCTCCGTCCTCCCTGCTCCTCCTGCTCCTTCCCCTCCACCTCCCCCTCCGCAGCAAAGAGGCCCGCGGCTATGGCTTTCTCGCGACGTGTTTCTCCTTCGGACTCTTCATCGGGCCGGCGCTGGGCGGGGAGCTCGTGTACCCAGCGGAGAGATTTCCTTCCGTGTTCCAGGGCACGATCTTCGACACTTATCTCCCCGCGCGAGAGGGGCCCAGCCTCGCCCGAAGTTTTTCTGCCTTTCCGCGCCTCCTGCCTCCTTCCCTCTCGGGGGGATGATCGCCATGCCTTTCGTCAGCCCACCCCGTTGTTGTCGCCGTCGTCGCTCTCGCCCACGCCCTCGCCCTCGCCCTCGCCGTCCTCGTCGGCGTCAGCGTCGTCGTCGTCGCCGTCGCCGTCGCCGTCGCCGTCGCCGTCGCCGTCGTCGTCGTCGTCGTCGTCGTCGTCGTCGTCGTCGTCGTCGTCGTCGTCGTCGTCGTCGTCGTCGTCGTCGTCGTCACGCGCGCGTGGAAGGATGGGGAAGACGACGCAGGAAGCTGCTCAGAAGGCTGGAGGGCTTCTGAGGAGCCCCGCCGCCTTCTGAGGAGGCCTCCTCCTCCTCGCTTCCCCTCCTCGCTCGCCGCCGACAGGTGTCCACCCCCTGCCAGTTCTCCGCCCCGCACCGATCTGCTTGGCGGCCCCCGGGTGTCCCTAACAACCGCGTCCCCAGAGGGCCCCTCCGACCCAGGAGACCGCAGGCGCGCCCCTCACTCGTCGGCACGAGCGAAACTAACACATGACTCTCCAGACCTATGGCCTTGCCTGGACTGCATCAAACCTCGACAGGAGTTCAGACGGTAGAGGGAAACAATTCCTGAACGCTCCCCCTCCCCCTAACCTCAACGTTGGCACGCGCGGGGGAAACTGCGGTCGAAGTGCATCTCATCAGACCCACCGCCAACTTTGAACATTGGGGGGAGGGGGAGCCGTTGACAGATGAATGTGGCATCATGAGTGTTCGCTAATGTGTTCCTAGGCCCACCTGGAAGGTCAGGGCGGTAAGTCCCCAGATCCTCGCTTCGGAGATCCCCGGGAGGCCAGCACGCCAGGTCCCCGTGAGGCCCACGGAGGCCCCTTGAGGGCCGCCGAGGGCATGCTGCGTTACCCCCATCGACCCTGGAGGGCAGAGGGCAGAGCGACGCCGTTTTTTTTTTTCTTTTTTTTTTTTTTGTTTTTTTTTTTTTGTTGCTATTTTCGGCATCCAGGGGCCCTCACCAGGCCCCGGGACCGCCAGAAAGACTCAGGATGAAGACGTGGTCCTGGGGAAGTGGTCCGGACATCCTGGGCCCACGCAACGGAAGAATCGGAGCGGCTGGAAGTCTGGGGAGGGCACAGCGACGCTTGGTAAGGGGAAGTTCCACACTCGATGATCCTCAGGAAGTGAGTTAGCCCAGTTTTTGTTTGCTTGTTTGTTTGTGTGTGTTACCCCGTGCCGCTCCACCGATGTGGCGCAGCCCGTGTCGGCCCTCGTGACGTTGCCTGCCTCGCATGGACGTGCTCCAGTCAGAGTACATTTCGACTCTTTCGATTCGAATCGATTTGATTCCGAGGATCTCGATTTCCATTCGACTCCGGATTCCGACATCGGTTTGGGTTTCGTTGTGCCTGCCTCGGCTCGGGCCGCGGGCGATTCCGATGCCTTCCGATCCGCCCGCATTGGTTTCCCGATCCGATTTTGGGCCATCCTGGCCTCGGTGGTCAAGCGAGCGTTGGCGCCAACACACGTTCTGAGGATCGTCGACGCTCGCGCGGGGCGCCCGTCCCTTCCTCCTGCCGAACCTGAGCTACGCCAGCTGCGCGGCGCTGGCCTGGATCATCGGCCGCGGTCGGGCGGCCGCCGCCAGATTGTCCCGGGGCGCCGTTGGACCCTCCGCGCTCCTCCCTCCCTCTTCCCTCCCTCCCTCCCTCTTCCTCCCTCCCTCTTCCTCCCTCCCTCCCTCCCTCCCTCCCTCCTCTTCTTCCTTCCTTCTTCTCCCCTCCCTCCCTCCCTTCCTCCTCCTCCTCCTCCTTCTCTTTCCCCCTCCTCCTCCTCCTCCTGCTCCTCCTCCTCCCCCTCCTCCTACTAAAGCGCTCCTCTCCGTCGCACCCCCGCACGTGTCGGTAAGGTGGGCCCAGTGTTTCGCCCGAGACTGTCTCGCCGCTCCTGATCCCGAAGCCGGGAGTCTGCAACAGTTTTGCCGTTTTCAAGCACCAACTTTGGCAACCCTCCTCCTCCTCCTTCTCCTCCTCCTCCTGTACCCTCGCCCTCCTCCTCCTCCTCCTCCTGCACCCTCCTCCTCCTCCTCCTCCTCCTCCTCCTCCTCCTCCTCCTCCTCCTCCTCCTCCTCCTCTCTCCTCCTCCTCCTACCAACCCACGAGGAAGACGGCGCACCCCACCCAGAGGTTCGCTTCGGCTGCGACGGAGCAAAGCCCTGAGGCGGCACGTGGCGACGAGGCCACAGAGGAGGCACAGACGTGGTGAGCAGAGTCTGATGGGAGGGAAGGCCTCCTACCCTGACACGTCGATTAAGGAATTGGCCGTTTTCGGTTCGCGAGGGGCCGTCGCGGCCGTCATTTTTGCGGGTCCAGGACCGTCGGTTTCGGCCCCAGGCGCTTTTCACCAAGGGGAGGGTTACTAAAGGGAGGTTTGTCCACCGCCGAAAGGGTCTGATGGGAGGGAAGGCCTCCGGAGACTTGCCACATCGGGGCCAGATTGCCAGAGACGCCCTGCTGGGAGGCAGAGATGCCTATGGACATGGGCCTCGAGGATCAGGAGGCCCTCGTGCACGAGCTGGAGTCCTTCCCTGACGTACTTTGGCTGGACGGCGCAGTCGTGCAGCAGATGATTTCGGAGATGGGGGAGACTACGACGCCCACCGAGAAGGAGATGCAGATGCCGCAGCGCGTCAAGAACGGCATCAAGAGGTTTCACGTCGACCTCGGGCACTGGGCGAGCTGTTCTACTGTGCTGTCTGCGGGCGAGCAAGGCTTGGACAGGTCATGCTGCGTCGCGTGGGCCAAGCGTTGGAACTGCCCCCTGTGCGAGTTGAGGTCGGCCCCCAAACCAGTGCGACCAGCGTCGATATCGAGGCCCCCGCAGAGATTTAACGCGACCGTCGGGTTCGACCTGCGAGTGGAGTGCGACATCAATGTGCATCCTACAGCGGTGTCGACGTAATCGACAACGGCACCAACGTCTCTCAGTAAGAACTGATAGAGAGCAAGAGTCCTTAAGTTAGGGCAGAAGACTTCTTCGCGTCATGGATCACATTGGCAGGCGTGCCGAGCGAAGTAATGCACGACCTGGAAGGCGAATTCTAGGGCGAGACGACGGCTATGTCAGAACGATTGCAGATGCAGATGAACGTCGGTCCAGCAGAAGCTCCGTGGCAACAGGTCATGATCGAACGTCATGGCGCAGAGCTCGGATACCTCGTGTGCATGGCCGTCGGGGAGCAGAGCATCAAGGGTGCGAACGAGATGAAGATGGTACTGGACTGCGCGGCCATTGTAAAGAATAGGAGAGTCGGCTGGGTCGGCTACTCCAGCGGGGTCCCCACGAGAGCAAGTTTGCGGAACACCAGATCGTCAGACTGGCTTGGCGTTCGATTGCTTTGTAGAGACGGAGCATCCTGCGGGCGATGTTCAGGCATTCGTCGACGCGGCCTACAGACGATCACTCCAGATCCGTTCAGCAGCCCGGGCAGTCTTGGCAGGCCAGACCATGCAGACCGATATCGACGTGCGGTGGTTGCCAGAGCGCGCGCCCTTCGCCTGGACTTGCCGATCGGGCCGCAGGTCTTCTACGCGAGGACGGGCTAGACGAAACGCAATCTGAAGGGCAGACGATGCACGGATTTCGATCGCTGGCGCGGCCGTGGGATGATGTTCGGCAGCGAGATGGACACCTCCACCGATCCAGCACGACGCCGAGGGTTTTGGACATCTCACAATTGTAACCTGCTATGCGTGACTCCTGGTCGCGTTCGGCTGGCAAGGCGCATGGGGCAGATGACCCATGGCCTGGCGCGCCAGCTCATGAAGGGCGCAGCAGACGAGCTATGCGTGAGTGGCGGCATCGAGGAGTACCTGGACACAACTATGGAGGTGCCGACTCAGGTGGACGTCCCACCTGCTGCGAGACCCCTGAGGGTCACGCGCCGCCTGGGGCTGAGGAGGGGCCCGAGGCTGGACCACCCCCGCCTGCGACGCCAGAAGGGGTTCAGGACCCCGACATCGCCGCCCACAGCTTTCGGATCTCCGAAGCTGGACCTGATGCAGTAGACATGCTGGTGCCAGTCGACGCCCTGAACGGGGTCCTGATCTTGCAGCTCGATTCGACCTTCAAGTCGAAGGAGGGACCCGCGCTGGTCCCCAATGAGCTCAGGGCTCAACCAGACGGAGAAAGGCCGCGTTCGGTGAGTTCGGCATCGAGCAGTGGACGAAGCATTTGGACATGGGCGCTATCGAGATTGTGCACCTGCCCCGCAGTATCTTGCAGGTGCCGGCGAGATCCGTGAAGGCCAACGTGGCACCCGAAGGTGACGAGCTGGGAGCGAGTTTGAGGCTGGTCTTGCCTGGCCATATGCTTCGGATGGGACTGTCCCCGGGTGGAACGCGGACGGACAGTCCGACGTATGGGCAGACTGTCCTATGTCCTGTGCTGTCTTTGGCCCGGCGCTTCAGCTGGCATCTCGGTTCGTTTGGCGTGGGGGCGACCTTCCTCGCGGGTCGCCGCGTGGAGCGGGAGGTGCATTTCCGACCCCCCACCTGACAGAGCATGTGGCTTATCGAGCGGATGTCTGATTCGCGCTTTGAAGGGCCTTTTTCTGTGTTCCGGAGGCGTCGAAGTTGTGGTGCCGTGAGTTCATCGAGAGAGCGAAGAAGGCAGGAGCTGAGCAAATACCTTGGTGTCCACGCTTGCGCTTCCTGGAGCACGACGGCAAGTTGCTTGGATTACTGTGCGTGCGCGTGGGCGATGCCGTCATGGGGGGTGACCAGTTCAAACAAATCAAGACGAAAATCCCCAAGTTCCCGAGGCGCAGCAGAGATTCCATACTTGCTCGTGCGTCTTTCGCACTAGGGAGAGAAAGGAGGAGGAGGACGAGGAGGATGAGGAGGATGAGGAGAAGGAGGAGGAGGATATAGAAATGGAAATGGAAATATGGAAATGGATATGGATGGAGATGGCAATGGAGATGGAAATGGAGATGGAGATGGAAATGGAGGAGGGGGAGGACGAGGAGGACGAGGAGGAGGAGGAGGCGGAGGCAGAAGCGGAGGTGGAGGCGGAGGCGGAGGCGGATGAGGAGGAG